TACAAATTCTCCAAGTTCTGCTGTTTCAATTAACAATCTCGACACTTTGACCGACTTTTTCAACGCTTGTCATAGTTTCAGAGAGTTCAAACACCTAATACTATTATGTTAGAATAATCACATTATCACCTCCCACGATACTTTCCCAACAATAACTTTTGAAATTCTCCAATAATTTCGCAAATATTCATAACTCTTTCCCTCTTTATCTTTTGTTTGGCGATCCCTTCTGACATGCATCCATCACGTTCATAATTCTGATCTGCTCTAGCTCTTAATTTCAGCCTGTATGCTACGATCATGTAATGCAAATGTTATATTCAGAAACATCCAGTAATTCTATGTCACATGGTGGAAATAGCAAATTACGATGGTGGAAATAGGGATACCCTATCTTTATTGTTATTATTATTAATAATATCATTATTATTATTTGTAGAGAATGTAATTAATAGTGAAGTTTCAATCAAATTTATTTCAGGGGTGACAGTATTAATGATGGTGACAGATGAAGATGATGATAATAGTATTGTAATGATAATTTTTGATGGTGATGATGAAATCTTCTTCTTCTTTCTCTTCTTTAAAATTGAGTGAATCTCGTGAAAGAGTGTACAAAGTTCATTAGAAGTGAGTTATCACTTCAAGATTTATTATTTTCTGCATAAGTTTTTTGTGAATTTGAGCTAGTAATAATTAATATTAGTCAATGTATTTATTTAAAGTAAATAATTAATTATAGAAGTAATATAAAAAATTCTTTTTCAGCCATAGTATATGACTGATCCTTTTTGAGCTCACCAAATATTACAATTCAGGATTTTCAGAATAATAATATAAGAACAGTTATATTTTAATTAAATATTTTTTTATTATAATTAATTGTACTGTTACCAAGAGTATAACATCATGTATATATAAGAAATTATATTATTAATAAAATATTTTAGTAATTATTAATAATTTAAAGTATTTGTAATCAATATTAATAATAGATGAAATACAGGATAAGATTAATAATCATTAGATTATAATTAATAAGCAAACTACTATAACAACAAAAAAATCTAGATATTACAAAAGGAGTATTATTTATTCATATATCAATCTATATTAAATTAATCAACATCAAATCTAGACTAATTAATAATTACTATTAATTTAAGGAATTTATAATGTAATTTTTAATATAAAATCTTTAATATTAATTTTCGTATGATTTGAATAAATCCAGATCGTAACAGCATATTATCATTTAATATAACATTATGATAAGTGATCCATTATTGAACTTAGTTTGGTGATATCCAAAATAATTTATTCAGATTATTCATTTTATAATGAAGTTCCCAAAATATCTTTCATTCTGGTTCCTTGACTTTTCTGATAAGTAACTGTCTTAGAAGTTTTGCTGCATCATTTTTTTTTCAGTTTGTTATTTTATATTTCTGTATCTGATTTTGCAGATTATGTAAATATATTGTAATATTAAAAAACTTGATAGAGAGAAGTTAACATTGAATTATTGTATTAAGGTTATCTTCAATTGTGTAAAAGCGAATTTTCTGTATAATGACTTCAGGTAAGATTTGATTTTTTACAATATATAAATTAATTTTAGAATTGAGTGAATGATTGTGATTGAGATTTAATAATATTACATTAATAATTGTAATTTTCTTTAAAAAAGTTATGTTAACATGCCAAGGATAATCAAATTATTTTGATCTATTAATTTGTTAATTCTTTAGGATTATAATTTTTTTAGATTTATAAGAATCTTGGTGATTACACGTAAAAGTACATTGCTGACAAGTTCTCTCTGAAAGAAAATCTTGCTCATTTCTAATCTTAATAACAATGAAATTCTCTTACTAGATATAGTTATTGAAATATTGATTGATATTATTTCACATTTGAAAAACTTGTCCAGCAGAAAGTAATGCTAATGTTTATTACAGAGAAAAAATTGAGAATTTAAATAGTTGGGAGTGAGTCAACAGAAACCAAGCAAATTATATATGTATTACATATATAATTTACTTGGTTTCTGTTGACTCACCCCCAGTTTATTGTGAAGAGAGAGAACTGGATGTGAGAAGAATTTGGGTATGTTCTATTTATTATTAGAAAACTACTAAAAATTGAATAATATAGTACTTTATAATTGTGATAGTTGGGTCATCTGACTGTATTATTTCATTATTATTATTACTAGGCTGTTTCTTTTTGTCATTATTGTTGCTAAATTGCTTTATTTCATTATTGTTGTTGCTAAACTACTTCATTTTGTCATTATTGCTAGAATAAACTGTTTTAAAGGAGCATATTATTATATTGTTGCTAAGCTAAGAACAAAAAAATAACTGAAAGCTTTAATAACAGAAATTTGTGATCTAGTTCAGTGACCAATAAGAATACAAAACAAATCTAATACAAGAAAAAATACAAAACAAATTCAATACAGAAAAAATAAATCTGACAGAAAAAAAATGCAAAAAATACGTAACTTGAAGATAATTGAAGTAAAATGTGATTAATGTGATTATACTAAATTTAATATATTGTTATAATAGTAACATAAAAATTGCAAATAAAAAAAAATAATTGAAAAACATGAAAATTCAAAAATATTCATATAATAATAAAATCTCCTAGTATTATTTCACTTTTCATTATTTTATTTTTTATTATTTCACTTTTTATTTTTCACTTTTTATTTTTCACTTTTCAAAAATTTCACTTTTTATTTTTCACTTTT